CATATTTTGTCAAGTGAAAGTAGGTAACTTTGAGAAACAAAATTCGACAAGGTTTGTATTAGAGACTATCTTTGGAAATTCTACAGGGTCAAACTTTCTTTTAATTCTAAATTTATCGAGTTTGGTAATTTCTATCTTACCTGGTCATGATTCCAAGATTAAAATTTCAGTGTATTACAATAAGATTCAAAGTGTTATTGTTAGTGTGCTTGAATTGAGAAGTAAATCCTTTTTTATATCCACCCATGGCAAAGTGCATTCAAGTAAAAATTGTTCTTTCGTATTGCTTAGTTTACACTTTTTGGTGAATTTGTTTGCTTAAAAATCGAAATATTTTCGAGATGGAAATCAAATATTATTAAAGGCAGGTTGATTTAGAAGGGACAAGTGTGGTAGATAGGAATGTGAACTATCATAAAAAGATTTATTTATTTATTTCAAATGGTAGGCGTTATGATAGGTATCATTATCCCTTTAGTTGACTTCGGGGTTCACAGAAAGGAAGATAAACATCCAAGTGGTAAAAAGTCGAGAGGAGGACAGAATAATGATTCACAGACGTAAAAGAGACAGACAGACAGACACAAAGGTAGAAAAAAGGTGAGTACTGTGGAATTAGTCGAATATGAAATGCGGTGGGGTCTTGGTAGTTTGAAGTCAGAAGTTAACTGCCAGTTAATAGACATTTTTGCCGTATGAGTATACGTTGCCCAGGGTGCACCACGCGAAGGTAAGTCTATCGCATACCCAAATTGAAATATTTTCGAGATGGAAATCGAATATTATTAAAGACAGGTTGATTTAGAAGGGACAAGTGTAGTAGATAGGAATGTGAACTCTCATAAAAAGATAATTTCTACAATAACTGAAAGCGTCATACCCTAACACAGCGTCTACTATCTCAAGCACATTAATGCGACATAAATGTAACATTTTTTTGGGGGGAGAGATAGACACGCGTCTAAGTTATAACTTGTCATAATAAAGTTGAAAAAAAGGTACAATTTTATGGGCAGTTCTAAGCGCCTTATGTGCTAAATAGGAGTTTTAG